ATTATCACTTATGAGACCGGAGGTTAAGGGGGGGGGGGCGAGTCATAGCGAGTTCTTTGGTTTGAACAAACGAGTCCAGAGCGGTGCAGCCTAAACTATGGTAGGCTGCAGAATCCGCTGTGGGAAACTACTGCTGGGTATTCACGTGGGTATTTGGAACGAGAACCTGAGAAAGTGCACTGGACATTTTGAATATGAACTGACTTCGACTGAAATGGAAATCGTGGACATTACAATAGATATAGGTAAATATATAATAAAAACAGTGCTTCCGACAAACCTTCTCTCGACATAGCATGGCAACAAGCATCCTCCAACACCTCAGTGGCGCCAAACGTTCGGATGCCGATCGGTTCGCCATCACCATCTGACGCGGAGGCTGCAACACAGGTCACTACAATACTGCAACACCAACAATGCTCTTCTCCCCCGCAGCCATAGAGGTCGCCGAGCCCCGCTTCCGCACCGCCCTCGGCATCATGCTGTTCATCCCTTGGGCCATCGGCGAGATGTTCCTCGGCGGCTTGGCCTACCTCATCAGGGACTGGAGGACTCTGCAGCTCACCGTGTCCGTCATCGGGGTGGTGATGCTGCCCTTCTTCTGGTGAGTCTATCGACTCTAATACGCATATATATACATATATATATATATATATATATATATATATATATATATATATATATATGTATATATATATATATGTGTGTGTGTGTGTGTGTGTGTGTGTGTGTGTGTGTGTGTGTGTGTGTGTCTGTGTGTGTGTGTGTCTTTGTGTGTGTGTGTGTGTGTGTGTGTGTGTGTGTGTGTGTGTATGTGTGTGTGTGTGTGTGTGTATGTATGTGTGCATGTGTGTGTGTGTGTGTGTGTGTGTGTGTATGTGTGTGTGTGTGTGTATACATATATATACATTATAGATAGACAGATAGATAGACAGATACTGCACATGCGCACATAAATGCTGTAGTTAACGTTAATTTAATCCCTAAGTCTGAATAGCCCTAAATATAGCCTCAGCAGCTGTGTTAATTATACACCACCTTGATACACGAGCCTCATTCTCTGGCGCAGGGCCGAGGAGGAGGAGGAGTGAGGGAGAGCGTGAGGGAAGAGAGGAACTCAGTTAATTTATAAGTGTTTGATGTTTTTTTTTTTTGTAATACTAAACAGTACGTAGAATTTAGCTCATTTATAAGTGTTTAATGCTCTTTGCAATGCTACGTAGAATTAGTTGTTGTTTTTTTCTTCAATACTAAACTAATAATGGAGAGAGACAGAACGGAAATACGATTGGCATGTACAGTAATAAGTGTTTTAATGGTTTTTATCTCAAGAAATGGTAGGTGAAGGGGAGAGACAGGGAGGAAGGAGCAGTAGTAAGAGAGAGAGAGAGAGAGATGAGACAGGGAGGAAGGAGAGGGAATAAGAGAGAGAGAGAGATAAATGAGATAGGGATAGAATTGAGATTGAGAGCAGAGAAAGAGGCAACACAATTTTAGAAATTAGCCTCACACTGTCTCCCCTCCCCCCTCTCTCTAATCTACCTGTGTGGTGTAATGGTAGTGATCTCGTCTAGCAATCTTGCTGACCCGCGTTCAAATCCCTCGCCGCCAACAAATGGTAACCCCGACTATTCCTTGAACACAAGGAGTAATTTAGAAACAAAATTAAACAGATAGTATGTCACACCAAGAATATCCATTGTAATTAATGGGATAAAATTAAATTATTTTTTTAAATTTATTATCCTCTTCCTTCTTCTTTTTCTTCTTTTTCGTCTTCTTCGTCTTCTTCTCCTCCTCCTCCGCCTCCGCCTCCTCTTCGTCGTCGTCGCCGTCGTCGTCGTCCTCCTCCTCCTCCTCCTCCTCCTCCTCCTCCTCCTCCTCCTCCTCCTCCTCCTCCTCCTCCTCCTCCTCTTCCTCTTCCTCTTCCTTCTTCTCCCCATTTCCTTTCCTTCCCTTCTCATCCCTCTTCCTTCCCTTCCTCTTGTTCCTCTCCTTCCTTTCTCCCCCTCTCCCCTCTTCTCCCCTCTTCCTCTTCCTCCCCTTCCTTTCTCCTCCCCTTTTCCTCTCCTTCCTTTCTCCTCCTTCCCCTCTTCCTCTTCTCCCCTCTTCCTCTTCCTCCCCTTTTCCTCTCCTTCTTTTCTCCCCCTCTCCCCTCTTCCTCTTCCTCCCCTTCCTTTCTCCTCCCCTTTTCCTCTCCTTCCTTTCTCCTCCTTCCCCTCTTCCTCTTCCTTCCCTTCCTCCTCATCCGCTCTTCTTCCCCTTCCTCTCTCCTCCTTCCTTTCCTTCCCCTATTCCTCCCTCCCCACAGGTTCATGGACGAGTCGCCTCGCTGGCTGGCCGTGAGAGGAGATCACGACCGAGCTGTGAAGATCCTGCAGAAGGCCGGGAAGTGGAACAAGGTGCCTCTCCCTCCTGAAAATGAGGTCATGGCGCTCATGAGGCAAGAAGTGAGTTGTTGTTGTCTTTTTGTTTTTCTTCTGTTTTGTGTGTGTGTGTGTGTGTGTGTTTGTGTGTGTGTGTGTGGAGAGAGGAGATGGTTGTGTGTGTATGTGTGGTGGTGGGGAGGAGACTGTGTGTGTTCTTATCTAATTGTTTCGATAATGGAGAAACGTTAAGTTCAGAGGGTCCCGTCTGCTATATATAAATTACCACATAACATTTTGTACTGATATTTTTGGCATATACGTTATTTGAGAGATTGTTCCATGTTTCAATAGTTCTGTTTAGAAAATTGAGCTTTTTGACATACTTTTTGCTTCTTTTTACTGTGTCCTCTCGTCTAGGTATAAAGTTATCTTTATCTAACTTCAATTTTCTACGTAACATAACATAGATGAACAGCATTATCCTATCGCCTCCTTTCCTTCTTTCAACCAAAATAGTAAGTCCTGTTTTCTATAGTGTGTCGTCATAGTTGATGCCCATCTTGTGGCTTCTTTCTGAACTCTCCAGTTTGTATATATCCTTTTTTTTTAAGTGTGAACTCCTTACAGCTACACCGTACTCTAGAGTGGGTTTCATAGTGGCTGTAATGATTTTCTTTACCATATCTTTGTCTACATATATGAATGCCCTCTTCATTGTCTAGATGTTTTCAGTTGTATGATCATTTGGTCTAAATCTGCTGTGTTTGATATTGAATCCCCTAACTTGTATGGATATAGCGGTCGATTGTTGCTTTCTCTTAAACCTGATTATATGTCATTTATTGATGTTGAATTCCATTTTCCAAGTACAACTCCACATGAAAAAATATCGATGTCGCTCTAGAATTATTAGTATGAGACGTCTTCTATTATCTTAATTTGCATTTTCGTGTCCTCTGCAAAACTATTCAGATAGCTACCGGGGCTTATGTTTGAACCTTAATCACCGATGTAAATAGTAAACATAATCGGCGCCAAGACAGAACCTTGAGGTACTCCGCTAGTCCCTCGTGTCCACGTGGAGTATATATTGCACTTGTTAACGAAACTAGTTTATAATTGGCAAGTTTCCTAGCTTTTGATAGTTTTCCTTGCCCCACTGTATTTTGGAAAATTAACAGTAGAGTAGTATATAGTTGTTTAGCACATTCCCTAAGAACCCCGATAGATATCTCATCTGGTCCCTTTGCTTTAGTATTGCCTTACCCCTTTAGTATATATTTTATTCTCTTATTTATTTTAAGTGTGTTCCATATATATTTTGCATTGGTTTCATTCAGGCTCTTTAAAGTTTCTTGAATTAGTTTTGGCAATTTTCTGATGACCAGACCGATATATGAAGTAGCATATACACTGTGGTTGTTCTTATGTTTACCTCAAATTCTTTCTACCTTAATTGCTCTTAATTACACTATGGGGTCTTGTTTAATCTCTAACTCCTTTATAATGATTCATTTCCTTCTTAATATTGCTAAAGTTCCTCCGTTTTCATTTATCCTACATTTTCTTCAAATATTATAGTCTGTGAATCCTAATATTGCATCGTCTATGGAGAAGTCTAGTTTGGATTTAGTGATGCATATTGCATGTGCTTTATACATTCAATTAGTTCTAGAGACTTTGAGGATAAGCTGCCTAGATTAGTTTGAAATATTTCTAGATAATCTTTCGGTATTACTTCTAATAACAAAAGATAATGCTTGTCAGTCTCTGCGCTTTGGTTCTGACAATAGACTTGTTTTGCTTGGAGGCCTCTCACCCTCCAAATATATATTTTTTCGTCCCCATTTTCTTTTCTTTTTTCATTTGCCCTTTTTCTTTTAGATTTCTGAAATAATGATCAATCGTTTTCTTGTCATATTTTCTCTTATCCGGGTTGTCTTAAATACTCCGTGGGGGGCCATAACTTTACTATTTTATGACATCAGTTAGCATTGGTTCATGAGTGTTACTTTTAAAGCTATGATATTCTGCTGCGATAATTCAGGATTTATGGCCTTTGAGAATATTGACATATCAATTTCTTATCTTTATTATATTTCTTGATTCCCTCTTCTACGATTTTTTTTCTTCATCTCCTAATATGTCTATGACTATGTTTACATCAGTCAGATTAGGGATGTTCCTTGCCTGTTGACATTGATTTCATTGTCTCTGTAAGCTGAATCTTCATCTCTTCCTCTGTGTTATTGACGTCCTCTTTCCAACCTTTTCCATTTCATTTATTGTTTCCTTTACTTTGGATACATCGGCCTATGTAGCTGTCATTATATTTACTTCCTCCTTTGCTAAGGATTTGGCTGCTTGACAAGTTTCTTTCATATTGTTTAATTGTTTCCTGTACTTTGGTACTTTGTATTTTTCTTGTTTATTCTTTGCTACTATTTGACTACCGTTTCCAATTTTGGTTTCTACACATTTTGTGTGAGGTTGTGCGTGTGCATGCGTGTGTGTGTGTGTGTGTGCGTATGTGTGTGTGTGTGTGTGTGTGTGTGTGTATGCGCGCGTATGTGTATGTGTGTGTGTGTGTGTGTGTGTGTGCGTGCGTGTATGTGTGCGTGCGTGCGTGCGTGTGTGTGTGTGTGTGTGTGTGTGTGTCCGTGCGTGCGTGCCTAGATCTGAGTGTGTTCCTGTGTGATCGCTGCAGTTCTCGTTAACCGGTTTATAACGGGTGACCTATATATCACGAGGTCTATTGACGTTTTCGAGGAATTAGAGATTTAAGCCATTTACTTAGTTTCTGCATTACTTGATACCAATCTAGCTGTGTTGGTGCATTCAGAATTGTGTGTCTGCTTGTATATGTATCTAGACACAGAAAGATATATAGACAAGCGTGTAATTTATCTCTCATTTTATTTATTTATTCATTTTTCCTTGGCAGCTTCCTCCAACGAAAGCGAAACGCGAGGATAGAGGTATAAAGACAGTAGTGAAATCCTTCTTCCAAAACGCTGCCATTCTCTTCAGGTATGTCAGTCACTTGTATCGCACCCCCCCCCCCCATCCCCACCCCCACCCCCCAGACCACCGATGAAGGGGAGGTGCCTAAATGGATATACGCTTAATAAATATAAGGAAAAAATAATTATATGCACAATGTTATTTTAAAATCTTTACGCAAAAGATACATTTTCTAGTCAAGACAAACCTGCGATAATATTATTCAGCAAGACTTTTATATAACTATTTAATTGTTTAATTTTAAATGTTTTTCAGTTTATTTTTCTTCTTTTTCTTTTTTGCTATAAGTTTAGAAATTTTCAAATTTTGTTATACATATTTTTCCATCGAACCTAAGAAATATAGTTCCCCTCTAAGTGGCTAAGTTCCCAAATCACATAGAACTGTTCAATAATCTTATTATCAAATATCACAATGGCCCTGAACTGAATTTCGACTCAAAGCGTTACGGTTTATTGATTTCTTTGCTAATGGCGCTTTTCATTTTACTTTCCTCCTCCACTTTCTCCGCTTCCTTCTCCTTCTCCTCCTCTTCCTCCTCCTTCTTCTCCTCCTCCTCTCTCCTCCTCCTCCTCCCCCCTCTCCCCTCCTCCCTCCTCCTCCTTTTCCTCCTCCTCTCTCCTCCTCCTCCTCCTCTTTCTCCTCCTCCTCCTCTTCTCTCCTCCTCCTCCTCCTTTTCTCTCCTCCTCCTCCTTCTTCTTCTTCTTGTTCTCCTTCTCTTCTTTTCTTCTCCTCCCTCCCTCTTCCTCCCTCCCCCTCCCCCCACACAGGACCCCGAAGCTCCGCCTCATCACGATCGTCATGTACCTGGACTACCTGGTGTTGGCCATGGTGTACTACGGCCTCTCCCTCAGCGGCGGCAACCTCAGCAGCGACCCCTTCGTGTATATGGTGCTGTCGGGCCTCATGGAGATCCCCGCGTACACCGGCGCTTACCCCTTGGTGGCGAAGTTCGGCCGAAGGATCCCGACGGTGCTGTGCTGCTTCGTGAGCGGGGCGGCGCTGCTCGTGCTCACCGGGGTGCCCACGGGTAAGGGGCAAGCAGAGGGGGACCTACGTTTTGGGGGTTTGTCGTTTATATATATGTATATATATATATATATATATATATATATATAAATATATATATATATATATATATATATATATATATATATATATAGTATATATATATATATATATATATATATATATATATATATATATATATATATATATACATATATACGCACACATATATATATGTGTGTGTATGTGTGTGTGTGTGTAGACATGTATATCTATATATATAGATATAGATATAGATACAAACACAGACACACACATACACACACACATATATATGTGTGTGTATATATGTATGTATGCATATATATATATATATATATATATATATATATATATATATATATATATATATATTACATATACACATACACATAGATACACAAACAAATGCATACGCACACGTGTGGACACACCCTCGTACACATATGCACGCAAACACATGCACGCACAAAGATGTAGATATAGATGTAATTATAGATACTGAATTATTTTGCAATTCATATTAGAAGCACGTATTGCAAACTGCGTCACTCATGTGCTTTTAGCATTTTCTTTTTCTTTTTCTTTTCTTTTTTTTTGTCCTATTCAGTATAACGCAGCGGTGAAATTATTTCCTTAGTGAATAACGAATAACTTTTACTCAGCCCTAAATATCATGATTATACTGTTCTTGCATAATTATAATATACTTTACGACTGCAGCAGCTTCATTAGCATATTGCAACAAGAGCTTATTAAAATACTTGTTAATTGATTGTCGTTCTGAAATAGATTGTGAATCTTGATTGATAATTTGGACAAATTCATATCTGAATATAACAATGTTCACAAAGTGGTAAAATTATGACGAAATACACTCACACACATATACATACTTGTCTAAATTTATCTTTCAATATAATTACTCCTTTTCAACAACCCAAAACTCCTTGATTTTAATTCCCAATACTCCACTCCAATTTCTTTTCTACTTACTCCATATTACTCCCAGTACTCCCCCCCCCCCTTCGGTTATTCCCTCAAGGTACTACTCTTTCCC